TCTTCCATCTGTACTGGTTCTAGGTCTAATCAAACACCACAGATTGAAGCAAAAATTCCTGTTGCGACCCACACTTTTGTCCTCTCAAACAAGCCCCAAGTAGTTGTAGCATCTGGTGCAGAAACTCATGTTTTGTCCAAACACCCATCATATAGGGTTGGGATCACTGAGGGCATCAGTGGACACAGCCACAGTGGCGTCTGGCAGGGTGCATCATTAAGTTATTTTCTTTTTTAATCTCTATACATTTTTTTTGCTTTATTCTTTCATTTTCCAATGGCAAGGACCATCAGTGCAATGTTGAATAAATGTGGTGAAAGTCTGCATTCCTCATTGCTAAACCAATGGCATTCATTGTGTCACCATTATTACGATTGATGCCTGTAAGGCTTTTTGTGGATGCTCATCAAATTAAGGAAGCCCTCTTCTATTCTTAGTTTCTGAGTGGAGTTTTTTGTTTGTTTGTTTTTAAATCATAAATGGTGTTTAAGCTTAGCAAACACTATTTCCGTGTCTTTTGAAAGGTACATATTTTTCTCTTTGTTAGAGATGAAATGTATTGATTTATTTTGAATGATAAATTGTAATTCTAGGATAAACTCTAACTGATCTTGTCCCTTTTATGTATCCTGTATTTGTTTTTGTTGTTGTTGTTGTTGTTGTTGGTGGTGGTGGTGGTGGTGGTGACAGGGTCCTTCTCTGTCACCCAGGCAAGAGTAGAGTGGTATGATCATAACTCACTGCAACCTTGAATGCCTGAGCTCAATCCTCCTGCTCAGCCTCCTGAGTAGCTAGGGCTACAGCTGTGCACCAATACACCTGGCTAATTTTAAAAAATATTTTTAGAGATAGGGATCTCACTGTGTTGCTCATGCTAGTCTTGAACTCCTGCCCTCAAGCAATTTTCCTGCCTCAGCCTCCCAAAGTGCTGTGATTACGGGAATGAGCCACCACACCCAGCCTACACTAGTACTTTTAAAAAGTTCTATCATTGTGGCAAACTAATAGCGTAACTATTTTGTTCATGATGTAAGGGAAATAAAGATCTAGAAAGCACAGTGTCCTCCTGAACTATTGAAGGTAAGATAGTAACATGCTATCATTTTTGTGTATTGAAATTGCATGCGTGGCATGTTACACATTTAATATTAAATCATAGGAAAAAGTGTCACTAGAATGTAGTGCAGTAAGATCTACAGTCACTTTAATGATACTATTATAATTTATATTGAGTAGATCATGAATTCTAAATAATTGCTGGAACTTAAGAGTAACTAGTGGAATTAAGAAGAAATTCTGTTCCCTTGAATTGCTTCTCATTTTCCATTTGAGTCATGTCTTATTACAGTTCTTCAAATGTGCCTCACTCATTCCTATGCTTCTCTTGTAATTGGGTATGTCCAGTTTATTGGATCAATAGGGAGTTGCCTATACCAGCTTTTTCTAGCATTTCTAGCTCTTTGCATCCAAGTTACCATTAAATGTAATATTCCTGGCACACAATCGAGATGTTCAGCAATAATACCTTCAATCGACTCAAAAGCAGCATGAAGTACACAAGCAGCTCCTGAGCAAAACCGTACAGGGCTGTCTTTGTAAGGGATGAACCTTCTTCTACAATCTCTACTAGCCAGCTTAAATCATTTTATAATTAAAAATGTCAGGTTCAGAGTTTGAAGAAGAAGATATAGGAGAAGGAGGAAGAGAAGACACCAGATTTTATAATCATATATGTAGTATAACCAGATGCTCTGGAATCTGAAGAAGTTTAAATCAACATTTCTTAAAAGGTGCATTCTTTTCTAACACAACCAACATACCATCATCTGAGCTCTCCCAAAGCATAGGAGAGAGGCTAAGCTGTTTTTCACCAGGTTTCCTGGGTATTAGGGGGCAACTGTGTCTTGTTCCCACATATATGATCTAAATATCTCCAATAGAGCTGCTGTTAGCAATGGTCATCTGGGTCAGGTGAAGCAGGGAGGTCAGCAGTGAGTTAAGTAGTAAAGTGGGAGGTGTCAATATTAAATCCTCAGACGTGAGGGCAGGTGGTGTAGTTGAGGAGGCTGGTTCCTCCTCTTGGCCCAGCCCTACAGAAAAGGGAGCAGGGCAAGGTGCTCTCACCAGAAATAAACCTGAATGCCCTAGACTTACACGTGAGCCACACATTAAGAAACCATGTCATGTTCAGGAAGTATTATGGCATCAAGTAAGACCTCTGGGAGGACAGGTGTCCCAAGGAAGATAGGGAGGTCCCAGGGGAGAGGCAGAGGTCCCAGAGGAGGTAGCGACACCACCATTGAGGGCTTTTTTGGCACAGGGAACAGCCAGCACGATGTCCTGAGCCAGGGACTGAGGTACGTGGCACCAGACTAAGGTAGCTCCCAAGGAGAATAACAGCAGCAAACAAAATAATGCTGCATGGTGAAAAGTGTTCCCCATGACCAGCATGGTCCTGGGGTATGGATGTACCAGGGCATGAGGAGGAGGGATTCCTGTGTGTTCACATGTAAACCCAGACCTACAGGGAGACAGGGAGCTGGCCCAGTGAACAGCAAGGGGACAAGTGAGGGGTGGGGGCACAGGGGCAGAGAACCAGCTGCCTGGCGGTGCAAGGCAGAGGTGCTGAGGCAAGGCCAGGCAACAGCTGCTGGGTGTGCACTGTATCTTGTACAGACTCTGGAGGTAGGGGGTAGGGCCCGGGGAAGGTGGGGCCTGGGGAAGGTGGGGCCTAGGAGGCAGTGGAGCAAGAGGAACTCTCATCCACTGCTGGCGGGAATGTGAAATTATACAGCCATTTTGGAAGAAATTTTGGTGGTTTCTTACAAAGCTAAATGTATACCTACCGTATGATACAACAGCACTTATAGATATTTACCCAGCTGACTTGAGAACTACATCCACATAAACCTGCCTGCAACATTCACTGCTGTATTCCTGATTACTAACAACTCTAAGCAACTGAGATGACTATAAGCAGGGATGGATAAACTGCGGTGCATCCATGAGACGGAATACAACTCGCTGATTAAAGGAACGTGCTACTGACCCCACAGCAGGAACACGATGATCTCAGGTGCATTTGCTAAGTGGAAAAGCCGGGCCCGAAAGGCTACACAGTTTGATTCTGTTCATAGGACATTCTAGAAAAACCAAGTCATAGGGATGGAGAAGAGATCAGTGGTTGCCAGAGGCCAATGGAGTGGGAGGGGCTGGCTCCAAAGGGGACGTACAGGGGACTCAGGATGAGGAGATGCTCCCTAAAGTACTGGAGCGGTGGACAGGAGACTCTGCACGTTAGTTCAGACCCCTGGGACTGTACATCCCTGACGCTGAACTTCCATGTATGCAAACCACAAAAAAAAAAATCAATCAAGGCCGGGCGCTGTGGCTCACGCCTATAATCCTAGCTCTTGGGAGGCCGAGGCGGGCGGATTGCTCGAAGCAGGAAGATATCTTTGAGCTCAGTAGTTTGAGACTAGCCTGAGCAAGAGGGAGACCCTGTCTCTACTAAAAATAGAAAGAAATTAACTGGACAACTAAAA